CTATCATCTTCGGGACAACATCTTTTCCGTTGTTCTTTGAAAACAGTAAAACCTTGGTACCTTTACAAAGTCGTTATTTGCTATTGATAAAATGGTATAATTAGATTAATATCATAATTAATTTATAAAATCAAATGACAATATTATCATAATAATACATTCAAAGTAAATGGTTTGATATTAATAAAAAAATAGTAAGGCTAAGTTTTATTTATTCAAAAATAGATTTCACGGTATTATGGTGAAATAAATTAACAGAAAAAATACACAAAAAATAAAAACTGTTAAAGGGTTTTGTTTTGATAATATTTTTTTGTGTTAATTTTAACGTTTTGTTGTGAAACAATAAAATACAGTTATACTACAATACTATTATAATTTAAAACAAAATACAATAATTATAAAACAACTTTTTGTTTTGGAACAATAAATTATTAATTTGAAAAATTAAATAGTTCTAAAACACCGATATTGATATGCAACAATAATGCCAATAATGCGACAATCACGCAAATTGTGAAATAAAAAATAATTGTTTTGAAAGATAGCTGAAAAATGTACAAATCTAATTGTTATGAAACAGAAATCTATTTGTTGTGAAAAATAAGGAATTATTGTGAAACTAACTGTAATGAACATCAATAATATTCTTTATTAAAAATTACAATTTACAGGGGTAAAACTGAAGGTATAAATTCGAAAGCGGATGTATAAATTTAAAGTTTTTGATGCCAAATTTGTCATTTTCAGGGTTTTATGATTCGTAAATTAAGCCAACCCCCTTTGATTTGAATTTGACAATGAAAAACAATGGAAATAAAATGAAAAGAATCAATAATTATGTTTTGCAACGATACTAACATATTAATAATTTTATAGTGTTTTAATTATATCAATGGTTATATAATAATTCATCAAGAATTCGTGTGTTTTTAATAATCAACTAAAGTTAAAAAATGAATCAATAGTAATAATTGTTATAATTAAACCATTATTAATAGTTGACGGTGAGTTATAGTAAATTTGTTATTATTCAATTGTATTTTCAGGGTTTAAGACAAAACACAACCCGTTTACAACTAGATAAAAATTTTAAGTGTATTTTAATGTGTGGGTGAGTATTAGCTTTATGGTTTGTTTATTTATTTATTATCAACGCAGTTATTACAAATTTGTTTTATTAACAATCAGATTGGTTAATGCAGATTTTCATACGCTTTGGTTTGCGTTTTTCATACGCAGGTCGGTCGTGAAGGCCGTGAAACACAACCAAAAGTATCGTAAATCATTTTTATGTCGAGTGTTGTTTGAATAATAACAAAATAATGATAAATTTATTATAAACACGAATAATTTAATGTATAGTAAATAATTAATATTGTTATAATT